TTTATAAGTTTATAGATAATATAATAATATTAAAAGGCAGTAGTTAAACTTTAAGATAGTTGACTTTAGACAACATTGAGACCTCCCTTATCTGTGACCGAGAAGTGTATCCATGTTTGTCCATTAATTACTCCATCCATCCAAAAAAGACTTAACATTAGGATTTATTAATTTTCCTACAAAAACATACTATTCTAACATTTACTTCATTTGCCTAAAACAAAGGTACATCTCGCTTCTGGTGAAGTCAACCAATCTAAAATTTGACTGAATTTATAAAACATAGTTTTAACATTTGTATCTCTAAATCGGTTTACTAGAAAAACATATGGTGTGATTAATCAATAATGTTTATTTGATATCACAAGCATTACTATTCTTTTATATATGTGGTGATGACTCAAAGTGCGAGATGTGTACTTATTTTTAGGACGGAGAGAGTAGATTAGTGAAACCATGTACTACTAAATTAACCCTTCTCTTGTGGAACCGTTAGCATCCGCAACCATTGAAAGTCAGAACTAGCCCCCTAATTAATAGAGGCATCCATGATCATTTTGATCTAATCCAAAAGTTTTGAAACGTCAAAGTTTTTTTTTTGACAGAGATAGCACTTGCAAAGCTTTTTTTTTGACAGAGATAGCACTTGCAAAGATGCACATGGTACTGGATGCATGCATGCATGGCACCAGTCCTTGCTCTGCTGGCCACTCCGACAAGGCGGCCACGATACGTAGTCATGGTGTTTAATCATAAAAAAATATTATTTAAAAAAATCTTTAAATAATATTTTTTAATGATTAATTGCAAATTTAGAAGCTGGTATAAAAAAACTTACATGTGGCAGGCTGTCGGCATTCTATCAGCCGATAGGTCTACGTAAGCAGCGAGCCGCCAGGTGCCAACGCGGCAACAGTACTTTTGTGCTGTGGTAGACTGTCGGCCTCCCACGGGCCGACTGGACCTGTCGGTCCTCCAATTGCCGACAGGGCCCCTCGTATGGATACCAACAGGATTGTACAGCTTCTAATTTTGTATGCTGCTCCTTCCTGCCTCCTGGTTTCTCTGTCGCCAAAAAGGATGCAGAGTAGTATGCATGCCACCATCTGATACTCCGACTCATATCACAGCACGAGGATTCAGGATGCCCGTGAGTCACTTCAACAAAACTGCTAACATCTCCTCACATGTCAAATTGGTATGGATTCACAAGCGGCTCCTGGAGCCATTTTTCGGCTCCTCACCCATGGAGCTCCGTAAAACTCGCTCTCACGGACGTAGTGTGTCAGATGGAGCTAAAAAATGGAGCTTCTCCCGGCTCCCATCTGACACCAGCGGACCCCAGCGCGTGGAGGTCGAGTCTGCCCCCGACCTCAGGGAGACGCATGCGGGGAGGGCGGCCGCACGCGCAGTCGCCGGGGCGGCCGTCTGGACGTGGCTCGTCGGAGCTCCGAGCGCTTGAACGCGTGGCTGCCGGGTGTGGGGTCGCGCTGGGCCGTTGGGTGCCCGAGCACAAGGCCACCGGGCAGCCGAGCGCCACGCACAGGGCCGCTGGGCGCGGAGTTGCTGGACCACCGGATCTCCGAGGATGGCCGGGTGCGAGGGCGAAGCGGTTGCGACTCTCGCGTCTGCGCGATGCGGGAGGCGAGCGGTTGGGGAAGATGAGGAGAGAGAAAGAATGAAGGGGAGGGTACGGAGGAGAAAAATAGGCACATGGAACAGATAACGTAAGAAAAGAAAAGGAAAGAAAAGAGTAGAAAAGAAAAGAAAAAATAAAAAAATAAGGGTATTATAGACTTTTTACTCTTTTTGCTACCCGGGGAAGCTGATACGCCAAACGGTCTAAAAAAACATTTTCAGTTCCCTAAGAGAATCTGCTCCTTCAGAAGAGTTGGAACCAGAGCTATTTTTGGAGGAGCCGAAGCCCTACCAAACTGGCCTAGAGTCGTATCATATTTGTTCCTTTTCGTATTTTCACATATTATGTTTTTACTCCTGTTCCTAACTATCCCGGTACCGGTCCTCGGTGATCAAATGCATAAACAAGAATGAGCAGTTTTATGCATGTTTCTGTCCGTTTTCATCCGTAATCTCAACTTATAACTAATAACATAAAGAACATATGATATATTACAAAAAGTCACTTTTGTCATTCTGTCTACTTCTATCCATGTCCTACCAATTACAAATAGATGAATGGTATTATAAACAAAACCACCAATACATCCACATCTTAGTGGATCCAAACATAACCAAACTAATAGGTAGTCAGATAATAGTTAGTTAGTCAATATTAACTATAGATTATTAGTTTCTAGTGCATTCAAATAGGGTATAAGTCAATTGTTCTACATCATGACTACAAAATACCTCTCTTTTGTGTAATCAACCTAAATGTTTAAAGTGATTTTAGTATGGTTGTCTTGAAAGATACTTTCCTAAAGTATATATCTTTTATAAGTTTATAGATAATATAATAATATTAAAAGGCGGTAGTTAAACTTTAAAATAGTTGACTTTAGACAACATTGAGACCTCGCTTATCTGTGACCCAGAAGTGTATCCATGTTTGTCCATTAATTACTCCATCCATCCAAAAAAGACTTAACATTAGGATTTATTAATTTTCCTAAAAAACATGCTATTCTAACATTTACTTCATTTGCCTAAAACAAACGTACATCTCGCTTCGGGTGAAGTCAACCAATCTAAAATTTAACTAAATTTATAAAACATAGTTTTAACATTTGTATCTCTAAATCGGTTTACTAGAAAAACATACGGTGTGATTAATCAATAATGTTTATTTGATACCACAAGCATTAGTATTCTTTTATATATGTGGTGATGACTCAAAGTGCGATATGTGTACTTATTTTTGGGACGGAGAGAGAGTAGATTAGTGAAACCATGTACTACTAAATTAACCCTTCTCTCGTGGAACCGTTAGCATCCGCAACCATTGAAAGTCAGAACTAGCCCCCTAATTAATAGAGGCATCCATGATCATTTTGATCTAATCCAAAAGTTCTGAAACGTCAAAGTTTTTCTTTTTTGACAGAGATAGCACTTGCAAAGCAAAGGGGAAAGACTAGTTGGAGCGCACGATTACTACGATAAGATACATGCTCATGTGGTCTTTCGGGAAATGAAAAACGTGCTGTCTTACGACTGTTGCTTTCCTTGATGCCATCGCAAATCCAAGTTTGGTCCCTAGTGCTTGTGCTTGGTTAGTAGTGTAGGGAGCCGTGTCGGGACTGAAACCTGGACAAACGCACCTACGAGAACACCAAAGCTCCTGTCTGTGCAATAATAATAAAGAAAAAGGGAATTTCGTCGACATTGCCCAACGCTTTCAACAATGTGCCTGCATTGGCGACCTTGCTTGGCCATTTGTGGGAGTAACTGTGTCGGTGCGAAAAGTAATCAATAAATAAATATTTGTGGTTTTACCGTACGTTGTGATCGGATATGGCTTAACACTTAATGACACATGGTTTATATTAGTTCAGACAACGTGCCCTACGTCCAGTTTTAGTCGGTCGGTGACTTTATTCCTGAGACCAGGTGCTCGAAGTTTACAATAAGGTTACAAACGAGTGGGAATGAGAAGAGGGTGTTAAAGGTCCGGTCAGGTTCCAAACCGAAGGGCCAAGAGTGACGGGAGCTTCAGCGTGCGCTAAGTATTGGAACGTATGCTCTGTGTAGCTTCAGAGTTTTAGAGCTGTGGAGCTGTTCGAGTGCTCAAAATGTCTAAAGCTTAGTAGAGAGAGAGTCGAAAAAATGACCGTCCTTTTAAGAGAGAGCACATCCCATTTTATAGGTGAAGGGGCCTTACAAGTTAGGAGAGAGAGAGAAAGAGAGTGTGTGTTTCCTAGTCTTGTTGCCCACGCTGTCGGGTACAAGACAGTTTGTCGGCGCCCACAGTACTGTTAACGCTCAGATGCATGTGGCAGGTTCTATCGTGTTCTTCTGGTATGACAAATATCAGCGCCTACCATACTGTAGGACAAATGTCGATGCCCACAACATTGTTCGTGTTCTAACATATCTGAAAGGTTACAAAGCACCCTTCTGGCATGACCTGTCAGTACTGTCCTGCAGGTGTGCGGGGTACGGTCATCGGTATTGCGGCTGACTTGAGCGCCTTGCCTTATCTGTTCCACCTGATTCTTAGGTCCTTACCGAGCGGGCGTCCCTGGTCGGTTGTTCCCAGTCGGCTCCGACCGCGTCGGTCGGAGAAGAGCTGTAAGCTGAGGTTCGATGTATTCCGGTTGGAAAAGCGGGTCGAAGTCGGAAGCGAGCGTCGTCCCCTCCTTAGCCATGCCTTCCGGTCGAAGATTGGATCGCTCTTCCGGTCTGTCGTTAGGTATCTGGGCCTGCCCAGGAATCGCGCGTCGTTGTAATGCCGTCTGCTGGGCCGAGTTTTTACTGAGAAGCGGACCCATCGGGGACCCTGGGTTTATGAAGCGACAAATTATCTCGCTTAAATGGAACATGCTCATCCGGTACATGAAGCAACTTGCAATGGACGGCTAGAGGATGCAGGAGGATATCCTAGTCCCCTCACTCCTAATGGCCAACTAGTAACGTCATTATCTTTGTCTAGCTGTTTTGTTGCACTAAACCAAAGTTTCTCAGCCTGCAGGCTGCAGGCACATGGCCTCGTGCTCGTGCTGTTCGCTTGTCCTTCGGATACACCGTGGCATGGCTTAACCCATTATATATTATATATACATCCTCCCATAGTTCCACTTCTATATCAAGCTCCAACCAACCACCGCTAGCTTTGCAACCAAGCATCGACAAAAAGAATGGTTGCTCTGCTGTCCTGCTCTGCTTGGCTCTCCTGTGATTGCATCATCATCATCTCTCTACTAATCCCGGGGAGTGTCATGCTTAGTGTCATGTGTGCCGCGTGCATCACTGCATGTGCACCCTCCTCTAGTTCACATCGGCAGCAACGCTCTGCATTTTCTGTTCACCTTTTCCTACTAACTCTAATCCTGATGGTCAACCAGGCAGGCAACAGTCAGCGCTTTGTTGGAACCAAGAGGCTGCTTTACAGCTAATCTTAGTGATCGGTGTAGCGAGTCTAAAGTTGAAGTAGGCGGTTCATACATGTCATGGTTCTCAACTCCTGGTGCTTTGCCCTGCTGATTATCCTTTGTTAATCCATAGGACATGGAACTTGGACCAATGGAGCTGCCAACCATATGCAGGGTGCCGATGCGCGATGCCTCTTGTGTTTAATCAACTGCTGAAATGCGAATTAGCTCCGGGAAAAGTCATTGAAAAGTCGCAACTTGAGCACAAAAGATATATTATACTCCCCATCAGGCATGTACTACCAAGTACCAAGTCAACGGTATATAAAAGGCACGCCTATATAAAAACAGGCGAACAATGATGATCCCACAGAAAGTTCCTTTCATCCAATCTTTTCAGCAATCTCATTTCCACGTCTAAACTAAAAAACAGGATGACCCAGATTCATTCACATCTGATGCTTGGTCGTGTTTGCTTGACGACTAATGCAGGACCCTACAAACCAAAAGAAGGTTCCACCAGAGTTCACAGCAAGTTCCAACCAAGGTGAATTTTAGTAGCGCGATCACGCTACAAGACAGCATATACTGAAATAGACACCAACCATATTGAAACCTCCGTTATTCAAGTCAACAGATTCAAAGTAGCAAACACAGAGAGGACCCGTATCTACCAACACCAGAAATATACTGAATGTATTTAAACTTCCAGTGTGTGAGTACAAAGAAGCTACAGATCCTATTTGTCAGGTATGTCTCCTCTATAATATTACAGTAAGTTTATTTGTCCCCTCTATTTTGTAGCATCAGTGAAAAATAGGAAGTCGTCACAAAATGAACCAAAAAAGGGTGATAATGTCAGTTCCTGTCAGCAAATAGTTGTGGACTCAGTCCTTGGATCTTAAGATGAGCAGTTGGTTCACAATGGACGATGAGCGTTGTTTCCATAAAAAAAGGGCGTACCCAGTGCAGAGAGCTCCCGCTCTGTGCGGGGTCTGGGGAAGGGTGTCAGCGGCAAACCTTACCCTCGCCTGTGCAATGCGAGGAGACCGCGACTCGAACCCGGGACCTTCCGGTCACAGACGGTAAGACTCTACCGCTTGCACCAGGCCCGCCCTTCAATGAGCGTTGTTTCCATAACCCACAGAAAATAACCAGGTCTAACAGTGGATGTGGTAATATGTACACTACTCACCAATTATTATCCCCACCAGTCTGGAATTTTGAGTCTTCTATTCCTGTGAATAGCAAGGTTAACTGCAGGGATTTTGTGCCTCACCTGCCTCCATATCATGTTCACAGCATCACCCTTCCTGGGGGGATACTGGAATTCATAATGATGAGAGACATTTTTAAGCTTTGACCACATATCAACCCACTTCTTTTTGGGGATCTGTCTGAGCTGGTTCAACAAGTAATCAGGTCTTAGAGCTTCTTCAACCGAGAAGAAAAGGGAGAACTCACTGTAATCAATCTCATCTTCAAAAGGGAGCTCAATGCGACTGCTGACTATCACAGGAACACAATGACTGACTATGGCATCAAACAGGCGGCATGAGGAAGGAGTGTCCCCAGCAGGGTGAAGACAAAACTTTGACGACTGCATACCTTCTGTAGACTGTTAGGATCAAACAGATTTGTAAATTTCATGCTCTCATATAAAGAAGCCTTAATAGAAAAATGTTAATATCACTAAGGAAAGGAGAGTACAAATGAGAAAATTGACTTACTATTTTAATGCCGTCGCCCGTGGCAATGCTATTCTCAAAGCGCACCCCTTCCTTGCCTTTTAATATCTTCCCAAGTTTTGCCCGGATCTTCCCTTCCTGAAAAAATAAAATGAATGCTATAAACAACTTTAACCTTAAAGTTCTTTAATGCCTAGTCAGATTCCACAACGGAGAAAAAAAAAAGAGTGAACTAAACTGGTAAATTAAGACAGACCACAGAGAAAGGGCAGAGGTTGTTATTACAATCATAAATCAGTTCCATACATCTTTCCTGACAGTACGGCCTCGAAAGAAAAGCAGTGTATGACGAGCCTCAAATGGATCAGGTGGATCATCATCAAGGAAGGAATCCACAACATGCACATATGGTGCCACAACATCTTTCCTCAGGGAAGCCAGCTCCTTTGTGTATCTCCCAAAGTCTGAAACTATAAGAATAGATGCATTCACCATTGCTCGCAGGAATCTGAAAGCATTAGGGTGATGCATAGGAATGACATGGTCACGGCCCGCAGACCATTGCCAATATTTAGACTTCCATAGAATGTCCACAAGTTCAACCTGCAAGAAAACAATAGCAAGATAAAAAGACAGTTAGATTATTTACATGAAAAATATTTTCCTAATGTTAAAATGGATTGCAAATCCTGATTAACTAATAAACTCTAGAGGAGTAGCAGACTACTTTTATTTTATTTCTTACCATACATGCCTAGTGTTATGTGTTGGCTAAACAAACTTGGCATAGTGAGATGGCGAAAGTAAAAATTAGGTGACAAGAAAGTAGTGGTATCTTCTTGGAATAAATTTTCTTTGCCTCAAGCACAAATTGCATTATCAAAGAGATCAGAAGGACACCAGGGCATGGATTAAACAGTGTCCTGTTCTCAGAGATGTTGAACCGTAGAACTCTTAGCTACTGCCTGTTCTATTATCCTCGTATAACTCTCGAAAACACCATCATAGCACATTGGCACCTATAAGTCCGTAGAGGTTGCTAGTTGTCATGCACATCAAGCTAGCTTCAGGGCATTGCTGCCCACAAGGAGCTACATTCACTGGCCTTAACATATATGGGAAGCACCATACCATCTACAATCAAGAATTTCTCCTACAGATTTAACCATATGTGCAAATCCTGTCAACCTTAGCAGAATAAGCAAATGCACCATTTCCCATCTTAATTGATTTCAGTTCTTCAGAAATATCCTTAGCAGTGACCAAGGTTTAATCACAGAAATTCTAAACTAAGAAACAGGTCACAGTAACTAAGTCCCAACAGTCCAGAACTAGAGAGCAAAACATACAGTGACATAAAAGATGCCACATTGTATCAACGAGGAAAGGGGGACATTTGCCGACCTATCAGAGAGATTCAGAATTTGAAAAGAAGTATGTTTCTTGATAGCATGGTTGATGGTAACAGAACACCAACTGGCGAGAGAATTGTCAAAATAGCAACAGTTTGTTCCTCTGCGAAATATCTTTGATGTGCTTGTCTGTGTTCAATGGCTCAATGATTTTTGGTAATGTTGTGGCTGTTCTAGTGGGTGTATTAGTGCAGCTTTCACTGGGTAATTTTGGCTGCTTCTTAATTTTAGAGTAGCAATTTGTACAGAGCTGTCTCAATCTGAGCCTAATTAAATGGTAATCAATCGTAGGTCCCATGACAACGCAGAATTATCAACCACCAATGAGCCAACAGAAAATAATAATAATAAGTAGGACTGTAGGAGTAACAATTTGTACAGAGCTACTGTAGTATCTAAAAAATTCTCTGTATGTGAATGTGATTAATGGCGGCACCTGCAGGAGGCGGTCGGCCTCGGTGTCGGGGTCGGTCATGTTGCGGCCGTGCACGTTGAAGCTGAGCGAGGAGAAGAAGGGCACGAAGAAGGCATCGGCGGCGTCAGGATCCCGCACCCTGACGACCTCCCTTCCCCCCTCCGGCCCCGCGCCCGCGTCCTGGAGCGACGCCATCATCCAGTACTCCACGCTGTGCTGGCGCCTGATCCCGCCCGCGGACGGCGGCCACGCGGGGAAACCCGCGCCGCCGGCGCCGGCGTCGGCCCCCATCATGGCTACGTGGAAGAGAGCGGGCAGGTCGTACATGAAGACGCGGAGCGGCGCGGCGGCGGCGGGCGCGCACCTGGCGGAGAAGGGCTTGAGGTTGAGGAGGGTGGCGCGGGTGGCCGCGGGCGCCGCGGAGGAGGTGAGGTAGAGGAAGGCCGAGGGCAGCGCGACGAGGAGCAGCAGGAAGGCCGCGCCCAGCGCCAGCGCGCGGCTGCTCGGCGCCCCCATGGCGCCCGCCGACCCCAACGGCGCCGCGCAGTGGGCACGCCCGTTGGTTGGCTCGGCTGTGCTGTGCTTTCCGATGGTGGTGGTGGTAAAGCAGTCGGGGATGGGAACTTGTCACTCGATGAACGGGTGGGTGGACTGATGGAACACTGAAACTGGAACGCAGGCACGATTGTACGTCTTCAGATGGTTGATGCTATTTTAACAGAAAAATATTGTACGATGATCGATAAGCAGTTCAAGCAATGTCTTGATCTCGATCTGGCCAAGGCGTGGACTTCAGTTCCAGACGCAATCAATGCGCAATGAGTAAAATACACGTCAAGTCCTTAAACTTTTGCGACATTTTCATCTAGGTCCTCAAACTAAAAAACCGACTATCTAGATCTCTGCACGCATCAAAGATCCAAAACCTACCATGTCAGCGCCAACGTCCGACGTGGCGATGCCACAGTGACAGCTGGACACTATGGGGCCATGCCAACTTCTAAAACCCTCACACGTTTGGAGCACAGCGCATGCGCCCCGCAACGCGGCGCGCGAAAGCAAAGCGTCGTCGTAGCCGGCTAAGCGGCGGGCGAGCGAGCCAGCGCCATCGTAACCACACGGGCGGCAAAGAACCGCTTTCGCGTCGTGCAAGAGGGGTTCTTGCCCATTTAGCGTCGTGCGAGGCGAAGCATTGCCGCCATGCGCGAAAAGCGCCGTCGCCGCCCTCGAAAGGCCAGCGCGCGCCCGCCCGCCCCGCAGTAACTGGCGGCGAGCGGTTCTTCACCAACACTCTGAGGCCGACCAAGCTCAGGAACCATGCTCGTCTCATAGTGGGCGAGGTGGAGGAATACTTTGCCAAGTGGGGGCAGTCCGGCACGTTGACCCGAATCAAGAGGTCGAGAACGATCTCCTGCTGATCGCGAACCGGTGCCTGCTGGGGAAAGAGGTCCGGGATCACATGCACGACGACGTGTCCTCGCTCCTCCGCAAGCTCATCGGCGGCCTGCACCTAGTCAGCCTTTTCTTCACGTACCTCCCGCCCCTGGCTCACTGCCGCCGCGACCGAGTGCGCGCTAGCCTCGAGGAGATATTCTCCAGGATCGCCAGGCTGTGCAGGAGCACACCCGGCCGCGGCCACGACATGCTGCGGGG